GGGGATCTGCTGCCATCCCGGCAATGAGAGTGCACATCTCTTGGACAAAGTCCACCAACTCCTTGTTGCCCTGTCGGGTGGCAAAGAAACGGGATCGCATGCGATATGCCTGATTAGGTGTCGAGAAAACTCTGGAGAGCTGCAATTTCAGTTCCGCTCGGGAGGGAAACGCAGCTCCGACCGAAGTAATGCCCATTCTCGCGCTCGACCACCGAGCTTTGAGATGGCTAGCATCACGCGCTGTTGCTCGGTCTGGGGTATGGCGGATGCGATGGTCATCTCGACCTCTCTTACCCAGAGCATCCTTTTCCTCGAAGACCTTAACGCTTTCCATGAGCGGCATTGGGCGGGGGAAGTTATCCGTTATTGGTAGTGGCGTCATAGACGCAAGAAGCAGGCATCTTCTGCCGCAGGTGCTCTAGTAGCGCGTTTTCGTAATTTGAAAACACCTCTAGAAGCGCACCGATTGCCTCGGGGTCTTGCGCAGCAAGGTGTTGCACGCCCTCAGGGCCCAGCAAAAATATCAGCTTTTCAAGCCCGTCTTGCATATCCTGGGGCAAAAAGGAAAATTTCTGCATCCTCACAGAGGATCAATCTAAACGAATTAGGTGTAGATTAACTACAAGTGCTACCAAGTGCAGCGGGGCTGCCGTAGCTTTGCGCTTAGAGGAAGCTTAATTTAGGTCACCGACCTTACCTTCTTCACAAGAATCAGTACGAGTGTAGCGGATCGCAATCCGCTACCTCCAAGAGAAGTTAGAACCTTAACCCAAGGCTATCAAACGCTTCTGTTTAGAATGTAAAATTCAATCTATTTGTTTTATTTGCGGCAAAGCCGCCTAATTTTAAATGTATAGATTTTCCTAATTATATATAGTAGAATCTAAATACATGCATAACTACTGGCCACCCAGTCAAGTACCGTATTCTTATTTAGGTGCAGACACACCATGCCCATTTCGTGTGACAGGCACCACTGTTACCAGGCAAGGTGTAATTCCGTTACAGATACGGCCCTGTGAATATTCGGCTAGCATCCCATGAGTACCCGCCCTTAGATCCGTAATCTTCGCAAATGTCAATTGTGATGTGAAATTTGTACAATGTAACGAATGCGTAAGGATTTAGCACTCTAGATCGCAAAGCCTGTCCCATTATACTACTTCTTTTGTTTTGAGACTCCGCTTAAAGATGGCCACATCTCGAGCAACACCTGCGCCTGGAGTTTCACCCATTCTCTGCAGTTTACCATGCCTGCTATTTTGAGCGCACTGATATATGGGAGCCCCTCCTAAGTACCTCGTCAAATTCCTTGTCATAAGCGCAGTGTTTGCGACTGACTCTAAAACGTCTCGATGAGGTGTCAAGGTGTTTCAAATGAACTCTCGAATATTAACCAAACACTTCAAAGAGAAGTCGCTAACTGCGCCAAACCTCCGTCTCGGACTTGCGTTGCTTTCATCATCAGTGGTAGGTGTCTCAACATCCTCCGTGGAACCTACAACGATTATTGGCTCATTACTTTGACATGGGTTGGCTCAAATAGCGTCACTAAAAGCGCGAGATTCACGCTAAATCTTGTTTAAATCACGTCGTAAATACGGTTGAAACCTTCTATTGTTGCTCGCCACGCATGTACGGAGCTTCGACACGCTTATGCATGTGGACATCCAATGCGAAACGAGCCTGAGAAAAAACACCCCGCAAACAATTCCTTAGCCAGCAGCCCAGAAAAATCATCTGCGCTTTTAACGGCAAAGGCTGGGTAAATCAGTATTCTCAATGGGATATACCGCAAGCTGGCAAAAGTTCCGCTGAGTATTCGGCTCAGTTTGCGTACTGGGTGAGGGAAACACACCGCGTTACTGGTCTTAAAGCCTTGCAAGGCAGCCTCAGCAAAGCGGCCGTCGAGGTGACGATATATTATCTCAACTTCTTGCTGTATACAGACCCGCTCGTTTCCACGAGACAGCTATTATGGCCACCGACCAAAATTTCTATTCTCCATACGGTGAATTGCCTTCCACGAGCAGGAAGCGTTCCGCGATTGCGGGTTGTGACTTCTCCAATGAAGATAAAATTCGAGAGTGCGTCAGGTCAAAAGTGGCTACGGCACCAGATCAATCTTGCCGAAGTGGAAGCTCAAACTCCCAAGAAGTTTAGTATAGACTATTTTTTATCTACTTCACCAGGTACTGGTGCCAGCTTTAAGGTACCTGCTGACCCATTAATGTTCTACTGTCGCCCATTGCTCGTCGAGCAGTGCTGGTGGAGGTCGACTCTCCATTGCATGGCTCTCAAGAGCTCTTTCTGTTGTGGTGAGACTCAAGGATAGCGTACGAGCCATATATCGGATTTGCTCTTCGAGCTTTGGTATCAAACTGCCTGGCTTATGACACATCTAAAGGCTCATAACCGCGTCGCTGCTTTTGGGTAGAGAGTACCAGAAGTAGTAGAGACGTTGTTTTGTTTCAACGGAGCTTTATACGATCGACTGGCTCTTACGAATGTTGACGTGGTATATTCAACGTAGAATTTAGCTTCTTGTTCCATAAGACAATGAACGGTTCGATGTAACGCAGTCAAAACGTAGTCTTACACACCGCATATTTAAGCGCATGTTATGGCAAACCAGCCAATCCGCGATCAGCTTGCTCAAATCACGTTCGACAATGAAAAAAAACGCTGTCTCGTACCACCAGGTGATAATAGCACTGAACAAAGTCTAGCCGATCATACTGTTCCGCTGACTAGGAATTAGCATTCGCGCGGAATCTTGGCTGCATTTAATTTATAAATACCATGGATTAATCACCACTTAGTGTTTTCAACTCTCGAAAGCAAGAAAGTTGACGCGGCAAAAAAGCAGACAGTACGAGATGGAGCATCCACACCTCTTTTCTGGTGTGTGGAGTTTTCGGGCAAAATTTGTGTGGGTACAGGCATCGGATAGTAGGGTCAGCCCCAAAATTCAAAAAATGTATGCTTCGTCACCGCGTGGGCTTATTAAACAACACCGTGAAATGTGTCCACCGCGCAAAAGCGTGGCGAGAAAATTTGCCCTCTCGTGAGTTATGCGACTTGGGCATATTTGGTCTTAGAGGCTACTAGTCATCCCTGACTACCCCAGACCAAGGGCCCCGTGAAGCCTCATTCGTTAACTTAAGGGATACAGACGAGAATTTCAATACGATCATTATTTTTGACACTTACTCTTTTTACTACTACTTTCATTTGCATAAAGCAGACCGATAAAATGAATGTGCTGCGTAATTTAAGTACCACCGGCTTAAAGCCACAGAGAAGAGCCAACAATCTTTAGGAAGCTATTTGTCATGACATAAGCTACCGACAGTTTCAAAGAACACTTCTCGGCTCCTAGCGATGTGTTAGCGGTATGGGTCAGGCGTCATTATGAGCAACGACATCGGCGCCTCGCCTTTCACAGAGAATTTGAATGCGTCTGCGTTTCTATCCAAGTAAACCCATGAGGCATAGCACAATTCTGACTTGCTATGTGTAGTGGCCAATGCGTGGCTCCTCTGGTCATGGGTTATATCAAATCACAATGGTGAAGAGTAGATGCTGATATCCGCGTGGAATACAAATCCGACTTGATTTGCGCTGTGATTGCAAAAGCATTAGTAAGCATTGACTTTTCCAATCAAAGAAATTGCTTTGTCCGAGCTTTTGTAAGCGCATGTCACACCACCAGTATTGATCTCAGCTCTGCGTTATATATCCACCAAAACACACCACGTGTGGCTGTTCGATACGATGAGGACGTTGATATTGAATTTGATACGAGACGCTAATGATTTTCTGAGCGACCGGTTTGGTCGACATGATACGTATGACCCGTTGGGCGCGATGTAGTGGAGACCTTCTTGTACAGATGGGTCAGCTCAATATGCACACACACGTCAACGCGTTTATGAAGAAATTAGCACAAGAGGATTTGTCCCTCAAAATTACCTTTTTCCCCGATAAATTGGTAATTACATATTCGTTATGAGATATCGATGCGTCCGGCAATCTTAGTGTTGTGGCCTTTAAAGACTGATTAAGCGAATGGCTCGTACTGTTGCTGTCAGCGACATCGTCAAAAGTAAAAAAATGACTAGAATTTGCTAGACAAATTCTATCGCTAAATTGGTTTGTCGTAACTATGTCTTGGATCAGTCCGATATTCCCACAAAAATATCGGCAATCTTGCACATGTGCTGCTTGGTGTTAGACAAATATACCCGCAACGGACAACCACAGTACTATGGCCAAACCTCATCCATTGATAGCGTGGTGGACAATGTATTGCGATATCCGTGCGCAAGAAAAGCGATGTGCGAAATTAATGCATTTTAGCTGTTTAGATTTGAACTAAATAACGCGGATCACGCCACATCGGGACCCACGCCAATATATAAAAAAGCCTAATAAACTCTGTGTTCTCCTTTCGTAGTTCTAGTTTTGGTAAAGAGATGGTAACGTTTTCGATACGAATTCATGATATTAGCTCGGGTACAGACTGATGTATTTCTCAAAGAAAGTTGGTGTCATGCGCAAATAAATCGAAATTGAAGTCAAGAGCAAATAAAATTAAGCTTGACATACACGCGCAAAAATAAGGTTAAACATTTTTTAGTTCATCTTGGGTATTAGCGTTACAAACTTATTTATCTACCCATGCAGTATCTGCTTTTGCGAGTTTTCAGACAAATGTGCCCTCGCTAGATTGAGCGCTTAACGGTCGTAGTTAAATGAGCTTGTATTGCATACTTGCTTTCCCTTTGCGGGTGTGAGAACAAACTACGTTCTCCGTGAGATTACTGAGACCATATAGCGCTCTGGTGCCCGTATGTGAAGCATATTGTTGGATGCCAAGAACTCAATCTCAACTAGTCCCTGTAAATGAAACTGCTCTCCAAAGTAAATACAGCTGTCTTTGACCAATCGATTGTGGGCCTCTGAAGCGATATCCACCTGACGACCGACATTGACTACCAGATACAATCAGCATCGCAAATTGGCTCACACTTTGGTGCAGCTACCAAAACGTCGGAATTTATGAGGTATTAGATTGTACTATTGTAATAGAGCACAAAGTCAAAATCTACTTCCGTTGACGCGAATTCTAGTAGTCATTGCTTCTTATGTGTAAAGTAAAAAGAAACTGCAGCACTTGATTGCCCTTGCAATCACTCTCACCACCAAGTCAAGAAAATGTTCTATTCTCCGAGTGGAAGAAACATGAAATGTTTGAATGTTCGTGTACCGGGATCCGGCGCAAGTGTCCGCGGAATTGTTGGCGCCGAGACGGCGCCCAAAGACACTCGGCCACCCAGAAGTCGACTTGCAACTGGTTCTAAGCACGGAGTGCAACATTTTATTTTCCAAAAGCGCAAGGCGCTCCAACGTCGCATGAAGTGACGCTTTTGCCTGTTTGACGGCAAGGATCCGCTCCGACAGATCAGGATAATTCTCAACCTGATGAAGTCAGTGCCCGAAGTCTTCAGGATCTCGCGGTCTTCCGCACAGCGTCCGCTCCGACAGAGCATGATATTCCTCAACGCGATGTAGTCAGTGCACAAAGTGCTGCAGGCTTTCAAGGTCTTCCGCACAGCGCTTGGCGACCTCGGAGAGATATTCGGCGGAATCCTGATGGCGATGGACTTTGTCCTCCAACGCTCGAAGAGCATCGCGAGTCACCAGGCGGCGATCGACTAAGTCGTCATCGTCTGCCGCCGACTTATCATCAATGGGAATGGTGGCATCCACTACCACGTGGAGCGCCTTGTGGGTCGATGTCGCCGACGGGGTTTAACCCAATATCTTGTGAAGAGGCGGGGATACCTAAACTGCGAGAGTTCATGAGAATTAGAAGTGCCATGTTGGCAAGATTACACAGACGTCACAGACGCTTATGATCGGAAGGATCATTACGCTTCGCATCGTCGTGCACACCGCGCTTGTCGACAGTAGCGCGGAAGCCGGAAGGCCATGAGCTGAGCTCAAGCTATTGCTGTGCTGCTGTGGCCGTAGAATCATTCATCTGAAAAACCACAGAGCCCGCGAGTGCGTTATAGATTGTTCCATATGTCGCAGGGCGACTATACGCAGGAAGTCGGCGTGGCGCCTTGAGTTTGGCAAACTACAATCCAAGATAGCTCTCAACGGGCACGTTCACTTCCTCATGGCTTTGCTGTAAGGTAGACAGCGAGGACAGTTTCCGGTGCCGCTGCACCCATCGCCCAAATAGCTCATCGTCATCTGCAGCGGATTCGCCAGGGGCGAGCACCACTGGGATGGTCTGTATTTCAGGAACAGGAGCACCTCCTTTTGAGCTCGAAGTCGAGCACGGTACCGATCCATTAAAATCTCTTGTGGTACCAAAGAGAGAGCTCGCAGATCTTTTGCTGATGACGCTCTGTTTGTATAGTGGCTAAGAGCCCGACTTAGACGCCTAACGATCGAGTGATCGCGTCTTTCATTTCAGTAGCGGGGTCCGCCGTGCGAAAGCCGTATTCCACACGAGGGCCTAAGACCGAGTGTGGATAAGCACGCAAGAAGGCCGCCCTGTGAGTAGCCTCTAATTGTTGCTCTTGTGACTCGTCGAGGCGATTGGTATTGATACCACTTCCCCGGACGCCGAGACATGGTGTCCGCAAGTTTTGGGCTGGGCTCACTTTGTGACAATGCATCAGCCAAAGCATTTTTGGCTGATATTCTACCTCGAAGTTATATACTGCAAAGAATGATAGCCACCTGGCAATCCTCTGCGAGAGGTGAGACGACTGAGTCGTAGCACGTAGTGCGCATGATCTGTGTAGATGACAAACGGCTTTGAGTCAAGCAGGTGCACCCTGAACCTGACATGCGCATAATTCATCGCAAATAGCTCCTTGTCGTAGACTGGGTAGTTCTACTTCGCGGCCTTAAGCTGGCCAGATTCAAACGTGATCAACCATCTCGCCCCTCGGTGTCTGCTTGCAGCAGTGCACAGCCGATGGAAAAGTCCGAAGCGTCACAGACGACATGGTCGATCGGGGTCTGGCAGCGCCAGTATCGGCGCATGCAGGAGGTCGTCTTTGACCCCGTCAAAAGCCTCCTGATGTTCGGTGTTCCCACACCATTTCGCATCTATTATAAGAAGATTGGATAATGGTCGGGCCATTTCTGCGTAGTTTACGCTGCACTTGTGCAAGTAATTGGCGAGACCAAGCCACTTCACGCAAGTCCTTCTGGTTCTTTGGAGCCGGCCAATCTATAATGGCCTTGATTTTAGCGGGATCCGCTCGAAAACCACACTTCCCAATGAAGCACTCTGAAAGGGGAATCTCCTCTGCGCCAAATATGCACTTGTCTGCATTGGCGTACAGTTTTTTCGTGCGCATGCACTCGAGCACCGGTCTTAAATGGAAGATGTGGTTCTCCTCATCCGCCCTTCCGTGCTCTGCACGACTGCGAACAAAAATGTCGTCAAAGAATGTCTGTGCATACGCCCTGTGGGGCCTAAACAACTGCGTCACAAGACGATTAAATATCGCTGGTGCATTTGACAGCCCTTGGGGCATCACCAGCCACTCCCAGAACATGCCACTCGGAGTGCACACCGCTGTCAGCGGAATATTACTCGGTCTCCTGATCAATTGGCAGTACCTATCGACCCAGTCGAGTGCACTGTTCTTTGTACAGCCAACCATATTGTTCTGGTCAACATCCTTCCCGGGAATCGACATCTGTGCCGGAATGGTGGAAGCTTCGAGCTCATTATAAGTGTGAACAATACGCTACTTGCCGCTAGACTTCCGGACACAAACGTGGGTGTCGAATGGGGAGGCTTGATCTCACGCACCAATGCTGCGTCGAGCTTCGCACAGAAAATGGCGTCAATGACGTCACACTGCTCTTTGGGCAGGGGCCATTGGTGTGCTACGCAGTATATGGTTCCTGGAACCAGGTCGATCTCATGACGCACACCTCGGTCCGGAGGCAGGACCGACGGCAGATCTTTGGAGACGACGTCTTGGAATTCCTTTACCAAAGAAAAAACGGATTTGAGGGATCCTTTGGGATCGATAATCCACTTCGTGCGTTCAGCACCCTCTTGGTGTCTCCAGGATAGCTTCATCCAGAAGCGACGTTGAGTGAATCTTCTCGGTCAGTCGTATAATGACCACCTCGGCTAAATCGCCTGCCTTCAAGGCACCGCCAAACCCTTTGAAGGACATCTCGATCAGCTCAAGAAGAGTATCCACCGCGGGGATAGCCTCGAGGGTGACGTTGCCGCCTTCCTCTCTCGTCATAACACAAATAGCTACCTACGGTAGATACACCCTGGGTCAGGGTCGACGCCCTGCGTCTCGCAGATATCATACGGCATCATCGTCTTCTCTCAATAGATAATTTACGTCTCATCGAGACCAGTGAAAACACGAACTAGGTGTCGTCCAGTGCCCCCACTCTCTGCTTATTCGGAGCCTTGATGTTGTTAACAACATCCGACGAAGAGCTGCTCTTTTCGCAGTCTTCGTCACGTTGTTATCTATCCACTTAACGCGCATCAGAAGAGCCTTGTCCAAGATGCCTCGAACCTCGTACGACAAGTTATTCTAGGCATGCAGCAACTGCTTTGAAATGTAAACAGTGCTCAGCTGCTTACGTGTCTCTCCATGTGCATCTCTGGGACATCGCCCTCAATGCATCGGACTTTGGCCAACCACACCACTCTTGGCATGCAGCGACTGCTTTGATACTTGAGCAGTACTCAGTGGGTTACGTGCCACTCCGCGTGAATCACTGGGGCCTTGCCCTCGATG